AATGGCGAGAAGAGGAGAGGATCTCAGACGAAGAATTGAAGGCAGAACAGTGGCTGGAGATGATGATGGAATGGTTTCATCAGAGTCTCAGTCTGACGAGTCTGAAGAGGAGGAGGACATCGAGGACGGAGACACCAGGAACAGTCGCCAATTCCAGGATCGATTGCGGAGACTTGATGAGGACGGTAATGAACTCGACTCTAATGACAAAGGTTCCAGGCTCGCATCGATGGATTTCATGAAGAAAGCAGAAACACTTCGCAAGACAAGAAATGATGCAGATGTGGAACACCTTCGACGAGACTTTGCCGGTGAGGAGACTCCTAGCGAAGAAGAGGGTCAGGAGGGCCAAGGGAGAAAGTCGTATGGTCCCATGAAAAGCCAGACCTCATCTACAAAAGGTCGTCAATCAGATCGGAAGGCTGAGAAGAACGAGTTCGAAGAGCGACCTGACTCCGACAACGAAGACGAGGAAGATCAGGATGGAACCAAAGACGAAGATGTTGACATCGTGGTCGACAACTCCAGCGTTCAGGTAAAAGCTAACGCCGTAGTAAAGCCATCGCTTGGTGACAAGCCTAGGAGGAAACCCTACGAGAACCAAGAAGTCCCCATACAAGAAGCGAGCGAGAACCCGTGGCTGATGGGTACCAAGAAAGATTTAAATGTCAGTAGACGACGAACACAGAATCCCAATGCAGGCGCCATCATTTCCAACAATCAAGCAGTAAACGCTATGCTACCTCCTGCTGAGAAGATAAGACCACGTTCCGCCCTTAAAGGAGCACGGCAAGCAGAAGCTTCTCGTCAAAACGTCCAACCATCCAAAAAAGCATCCACCCCAGCTATCCCCAATACCGACAACCCCAACAGCGAAAATGAGTCCGACGATGCCGCAAATCTGCCTTTCGTCCTTCGCAACCAAGATCTCGTGCGCAAAGCCTTTGCCGGTGACGAAGTCGTCGCCAACTTCGAGCAGGAAAAGCGCGCCACTATCCAAGATGAAGACGAGAAGGTCATCGACAGTACCCTCCCCGGCTGGGGTTCCTGGACTGGTGCCGGCATTGGCAAGAAAGCCGAAAGACGCAACAAGGGCAAAGTTCTCACCAAGATACCCGGAATAGTGGCAGAGAAAAGGCAGGATGCGAAGCTGGACAGGGTTATCATCAATGAGAAAAGGGTGAAGAAGAATAGCAAATATTTGGCAAGTAGTCTGCCGCATCCGTTTGAGACGAGAGAGCAGTATGAGAGGAGCTTGAGGCTGCCAGTGGGGCCGGAGTGGACGACGAAGGAGACGTTTCAAGGGATGACGAAGCCGAGGATTCTGATGAAGCCTGGGATCATTGCCCCTATGAGTAAGCCTATGCTTTGAGGGCATGGGTTATGTAGACCTACGTAGCTATCTAATGAGCTTCAGCGTGCAAGCGTGCAGGCTTTAGATGCTTTGATGATGTTCCATTATAACACCTCTATTTACACATTGAGATAATCGCATATGCCAATCGAGACTGATCTTTGTCTTCAACGGCGGGGCAGCCCACGATGCGTGACTTCATCCTGCTGCCCTTTCGGATGCGGGAGATTCGGCCCCAGGGTCGTCGACTCACGCACAGAAGGCCGATGAATGACTGCAGGTCAAAGCTCATGTTCAAGTAGACACCTCGGTTTCTGGGGGATCAATTCTCTGAAGTTCGACCAGGCGCTAACCTTATGGCCATTAAGTCCGCTAATCTGGAGGGTTCTTTCCCCGTGCAAATCCACTGGGAAGGACGGTTGACCGATCTGTGTGGTTTCGTAAGGCCAGGGTTCTGAGTGTAGCCGGTGGCACTTTTCCCACGCCAGAGAGAGCTGACTGCTTATTTCCCGCGAGCAAAGTATGTCATCTCCTCTGTTCAACTCGGAAACATGTTATCCACCTCAGTGGCTTCAATGATCATATTCTCAATAACTTTAGTCAACCCTGCTTTTTCAAGGCTTTTCACCTTCTCCGCCTTCGTATCCGTACAGAATACACCATGTTTCAAGTACCGCCATCTGGGTTGCTCTGCCCATGTTACGCCTGCCGGAATATAATCTGTAAGTGTTGCAAAGTCCTTTTGACCGAGTTCTTGATCCAGCCTTTTGTTATCTCGTAAGCCACCATTTAGCCAGAATGGGTCCCCTTTCGAGTCAAGATGCAAGAGTTGGACGCTGCACATTTCCTTTGCTCCCGCCTCGTAATGGCCTATCATGCCGGTGTAGAAGGGGTTAAAATAGTAGGGTGTGGAGGCGAGTTCGCAGGCGAGCCAGAACTGAGCACAATTCAGAGTCAGCATTGCTTAGTCAAGGCACGAAACCTGGGTTAATGACATAGATATCAGGAGTATGAGCAGGGCTTCGCTCCAAGACTATGTCTTGCGACTCAAGTTTTGGTACAAAACGGGGAAGAGTAACTCTGAAATGTGCGTACCGTCTCCTTGTCGCCGAAAACATGCTTGTTTACAGAAACCCTCGCAGCTTTAGTCATCATCCAGGCTGCAAACATCAAACTAGTGAAGACGCCGGGTTTCTCTTTGTCCATGAAGACAACGCCGGACTCTTGTTGGTGCTCCAGCTTTTCAGTCCAAAAGATGCTTTTCTTAAGCACGGCGCTAGGGTTCCGGTCTTTGAGCACCTTCTTAATCCACTTCAGGGTATCGATCCAGCCGGTGTAGCCTCCTTTGACCGCTCGGTCATGATAGAAGAGTGTTCCCGTCTCCCTCAAATGCACATCATCGTCGAAATAAGCATCAGGCCGTTGCAAGAAAATGGTATCCGCATCAACGAGTATGGCTTTCTGAAATCGGCTGGCGAGCATGGCGAACGGCTTCATGACCCAGCCGTTACCCGTCAAGCTCTCGTTTATCCCAGCAACAGTATCATCGTAGAAATCGAGTATGTTCAGAGTCTGGATATTGGGGGCAAGATCCCAGAGCTGTTTCCGCTTTTCCCAAGGCAGGTCGTGCTCGCCAGCGTAAAAGATCTGGATTGGGAGGGTTGACCCAAGTACATTGCGAAGGGTTCCGATGTTCTGCGCAGCCAGGACAAGATCTTTCTGACCTACGCACATGACTATGCCCACTTCTGACTCCAATGTGTTTCCCCATGGCAGGTATGTTTTGCTCGAAAGCCTCCACCAGCCAAATTCCTCGGTTCGAAAGCCAAAGAAGCTGTCTCGGGGAATGGTAGGATCTTCGATGATGGCCCCAAGTAGAGTAGAGAGGGCCGAAACGCGCCGACCTTTCCCCCCAAGATCTGATACATCTATATCCTGTTCAAGCAAGCTTTCCAGGGCGGAGGTAGCCTCTTGGGCAATACGAACATAGCTGCCTGTGGTTGTTGACTGGTGACTATGGGTGCTCGAAAATGAATTTCCATACGCTCCCTGCTGTCTCGAGGCATTGAAGCTTGAACTCCTCGAAGCGAAGTATAGTGCGGAGGGAAGGATGAGGGAGACGGCTCCCAAGATAGCAAGCCTCCCCCGAGGGTTCCTTAGGTCAAATTTCATTTAGCTATCATCTTGCCAGTAGATGGCTAAAGCTGTGGATGCACCCTATCCTCAAAGCTGTTCTTCTTACGGCTTTAGCAAGGGCAAAGCGATCAGGAAGGACCAACTTATTCAAAAAACAAGGCTCGCGCTTGGCTCGCTGCTCGGAGGAAGCGATTCATACTTTTTTGACCCTTTCGCTGGATGTGTAAGAAGAAGACGGTGGTGACGGCGAGCCTCGGCCGAACCATAGGGCTGAGAACAGATAGGAGCCCTGGTGCGCCCAAGCTGTTGTTACTTCTTACTTTTACCTGTCTAACAGTTTGATGATACTGTAGACGATCTGTCAGATATCCATATCTCTATTCTCTCCAATTCTATGCTCTAGCGTTTTTGGCATTCCAGCACTGCAGCGTCAACAGCGTTTGCCCATCAACGAAGTCTCTTGGAATGTAGTCCTGGTTGGGATGGCTCCCCTACTCAATTGAGTAGGTTCTTGTCTCATATACACTGCTTGCCTATTCTGTGCCCACGTGGTTCGCGTTGCCCGTCCCCCCTTGAATGCTCTATGTTTATATATTGGCCTCAAAGCATGCTACACAAGATTTATTTATCCTGCTTTACACCGATACTACAAGCATTTCATGAGAAGTCACCTATTATATCCCTCGAGTCCGTTCGAAGCACAAGACAGAAGATTTTGCGGCTTGTTTCAAGAGAAAAGACTTTACTCGTCTATGAAGATATATTTTCGACAAGACCCGGCCTCTAGGACTCTGAACGAGAAACGTTGTCTTTGGCTCTTGGCATTTGCTTGATGATTGTTTACAATCATCTCCCCTTCCGTGCTCTCGCAAATATGGCCTTTATCACGCGAGCCTGTGTATTAATATTCTTGCTGATATTTTCCCAGAAAACTCAAGTCAGCGCTTTACCATTCGGCAACGCAACGGGCTTACTTTCCACATCCATACCCAGCAAGACACTTACTCAAAGCATCTGGGAAAATACAACTACTACCCAATATCCACCCACAACCACAGTACAAAACACAATTCCTGGTACAATAGGGGTCAGTGGCTTTTCCTTCCATCACCTGGAAACGTAGAGTTTCAAGTTGTCCTTCAGAAAAATAGGGAGCTTACTTGGATCAGACCGTTGTTACAAGCCTTGAGACACAGGGCCAGCCATCATTGCAACCGTTCCCGACCTATATACCACCACCCATCATACTAACAACAGCATTCTCCCGAGATCTTTCACTGATCACGGATAGGTCATCGAAAGCGTTGTCTACCAAGGTTACGAGCATTAGTAGCGTATTGTGGTTGCTAAAGAGCCACCTCCCATCCACGAAGATGGAGAGAAGAGGAGCCACAGACTGTTTCCAGCCGGTTGCCACTGGAGCATTGCCCAGACAATTACCATCGAGAGGAGATCATCCAGTCCCTAGACTTGGTATAGTAAGTTCCACATACCCCTAGGTCGTTCGAAAATGCCAGAGAAGCTGATACAACCACAGGCCCCGCAGAGCAGCCCAGTCTCTACCAACAAGTTCTATGCCAACCTTTTCCTTGGAATCCAGAGCCAAGGGGTATGGACTCATCCATACTCTGTGACATGGAGCAAAGGAAGCGGCAACATTGGTAGTTGGGGCATGGCCGTCTCTCATATTGATGCAAACCAGAGAGCCGATGGGCCACAGAATACTGCCCTGCCGGGAGCACCAATACAGTATTTCATCAATCCTATTGGCATTCAATCCGTCATTTTATCCGCAGTAGAGCTGGGACCTTCCACGGTCTTGACTACCTCCAGCTTAAAGGCATTCTCGGCCAATGCAATTCTTTCGCCCCAGGCAGGCTCTTCCTCCAATATCACGTTTCCGCTCGTTCAAGGCATGGGATTCGTAACCGGTATTTACAACAGTCTCATGCCCGCGATTCAAAGCAGTGTATTCTTCCAATCGGTCACTCTAGTAGCCTCTCCAAGGGTTGGTGTCTTCAAGTATCGGATTATTCTGGAAGACAACAAAAACTGGCTTCTCTACGCAATGCCAAGTAACCACCAAGACCCTAATTTGCAGCTTGTGTCGAACACACAAATACAAGGTCTACGATTCTGGTCAGGTACGATTCAAATTGCGAAAAACCCTGCTGGCTCAGAGGGCGAGGAACTTTATGATAAATCTGCGGGAATCTACCCCATCAGCGCAGCGGTCACAGGCTCTACATTGGATAACCTTGGGACCTATACTATCTCATGGCGTATCAAGGGACTGATAACATATCCACCTCGTACGCTTCTGATGTACGCTTTACCGCATCATACTCAGTCTTTTGACAGCGCTACCAATAGGTACAAAACAAATTTACAGCTCCAGACAACTACGAAAGGAGTGGCAACAGCGGTTGTCGCTGATAGGTATGTACATTTCGGAGCAATCTTCTCCTAAATAACGCCACAATCTGAGGTGCAAGACTTGTTTTGGGAGCACCAATGGTCTTAAGCCCCCTCATGCTGTCTCGTTCCTCCGAAGTTCCTCTCGAAGAAACAAAGCTGACTTGAAAATTTCCATAGCTGGACGATGCAGGAGCAAAGCCTGCCTTTAGACATTGGTTTTGCACCTTGGACTCCAAGAACTAGAAGCAGATCGACCCTGTCCGCAGCGACAAGGCAGCTCATCCAACAGGTGGCAGTCTCTGAGATCAACCAAGACTACAACGCCCAGACCAATCTAGACAGTACGATTCAGAGTTTCTCCCGAAAGAGCAATGCTGACTCCGAAATCATAAAGGCATGTATTTCAGTGGCAAGGCTTTAGCCAAGTTCGCGATGATCATATACACGACCCACGACCTGTTGAACGAACCCAACCTTGCGACTCAGGGACTGAATGAACTAAAAGGAGCCTTTGCTGTATTTTCGACCAATCAGGTACGTACATTTTGGAGCTGATCGTTCCCATACAATATTGGAATTGAGTCGCAAGAGGACCTTTCTACCCCCGAGACCTGGCTTGCAGCTCCGTTACCTACCTCGAATAAGAAATGCTGACTCTGAAATCTGCGTAAGCAAAAATACCCATTGGTATATGATACAGTCTGGAACGGAGTCGTGTCTTCAGTGAGCTACATTACGGGTGACCCCGGCCAGGATTTCGGAAATACATATTACAGTCAGTCTACGTTTCGAAGTGTTTCTACCCCCCACCAGAAGCCTACCGCTTTCCGAGTCATAAGACATGTCCTAAGAGTATATGTACTCCTCTTACCTGTATCACCTCAGACTTCTACCCATAGAAGGAATGCTGACCCAGAATTCTTAAAGACGACCATCATTTCCACTACAGCTACTTCATCTACTCGGCTGCCGTTATAGGCTATCTCGACCCCTCCTGGCTCTCCCTCAACAAGGCTTGGGTCAACACCCTCGTCCGCGATGCTGCCAATCCAAGCACGCAAGACAACGCGTTTCCCTTCTCTCGAATGTTCGATTGGTATCATGGCCACTCGTTCGCCCCAGGCCTCTTCCCATTAGCAGATAGCAAAGATGAGGAGTCCTCATCCGAAGACGCTTTCTTCGCGTATGCAATGAAGATGTGGGGCCATGTTATCGGCGACATCTCCATGGAGGCGAGAGGTAATCTCATGCTATCGATCTTGGCCAGGACTCTGGACAATTACTTTCTGTTGTCAAGTGATAATGAGAACCAACCAGCCAATTTCCTTGGCAACAAAGTCACTGGCATTGTGAGTCCTCTCCCGGCCTCCCGTCCAAGATAGGCCCTCGCTAACGAGCCATTCCAGCTCTTCGAGAACAAAATCGACCACACCACCTACTTCGGCGCCAACCCCGAGTATATCCAAGGCATTCACATGCTCCCTCTCAGCCCCTCCTCACCCCTGACCCGAAATCCAAAGTTTATAGCCGAAGAATGGGAAGCCTACTTCAACAGCACATCGCCCTACCCTGCCTCCACCATCGCTGCCGGCTGGAGGGGTGTCCTGTATGGGAACTTGGCGTGCATAGATCCGCAGCAGAGCTGGAATTTCTTCGCGCAGCAGAATTTTGATGGGTCCTGGTTGGATGGTGGTGCGTCAAGGACGTGGTATATGGCTTTTGCTGCTGCGATTGGGGGACTCTAGAGAGGGTAAGGAAAGGAAAGGAGAGATTAGTATGAGAAGAGGTGGAGGGTAAGTAATTAGGTAAGTAGTATGGCATATTGGTCATTGGTGTTGGATAGAGCATTGTGCGGGACAGATTGCATACAGATGTCATGATTCATGAGACGACGACTACCATGACTTGCTTCGGATTGAGGTTATTGCGCCTTCAAGAAAGAGAGGAAAGGTCTATAGAATGGAGTTGCTCCTTCAAACATACCAAATAATCCCATATTTGCCCACGAGAGCCTGTGCCATATATACGGCCGACTATCTAAGCGGCTTGGCCAAAGTCGTCCGCCAGGTCTGTATTCATAGCTTGGGGATCAACATCGGCGTCTCCCTCTTCCACTTTTTGTAGTCCTCCCTATCACCGTACCGCTTATCATACTTCCCCTCGCTCATCGGCACCCCACTGACCTTGAGCAACAAGAAGCTGACAAAAGCCGGACTCACACCACACACACCCGCCGCGATGGCCTTGCCCAACAACCCCCAACCGGCCAATCCCATGCCTACCTGTCCAGGTCCACTCATCAGGACCCCTCCTGCAACGGTTGCGATGCCGGTCCACAACGTAGCCTCGCCAAAGTAATTCGGATGACGGCTCTTACTCCACAGTCCTCGCGTCAAGAAATCCTCTTCGTGTTTCTTCTCCTTCTTCTCCTGCACCCATCCGTTCTTTTGGCGATCGGCCACAACTTCAAAGGACAAGCCGCCCACGTAGAGTAAGATGCCAATGACGTCGGTGATGCCGACTGCGGCGGGCAGTGAGGCGAAGACCGAGACGGGGAGGGAATTGATGGCTAGGATGGGCATCAGACAGAGGGAGACCCATGTTGCCTGGGCGAAAAAGGCGCCGAGGAACTTGGGCGGGGATTGTCTGATGTCGTCGAAGCGGGAGTCGGAACCGTCGGCGGAAATGCGTTGGAAGAGGTAGGTTCCCACTGCAACGTGCACGGTTTGTTTAGCCCATTGCCCAAGGCCCATGGAGGGGTACTTTAGACAGTGCCCAAGCATATAACATCCTTCAGGGGGGATCAGGAGACTCACATCTCGTAGCCCACACGCTCACCGCCGCGCTCAGCACCAGCTGTCTCCAATTCAGCCCCGCTCCGCTCGCACCCCTCAATGCTCCCAAAACGCTCGGCCAGGCGGGCTTGATTGCGCCGGCGGCAGCCGCTGCATATCGTGCCCTGATCGTAGGCAGATACAGACTGAGTGCTGTGCAGGATAGGTAAGTGAGGGAGCCTGAGAGGTCATAGAAACGCTCGGACTGGGCGATTATGGAGGGCACCGCTACGGCGGCTTGGAGGGTGTAGGCGAGGGCGATGGAGGGGACAATGGTGGAGAGGAAGGGGCGGGAGAAGGTGGTGGCGTGTAGGAGGGTGGAGAGGACGGCCATGGTTGTGGTGGTAGCAAGAGAGTCAGGGGAAATTTGGAGGGCGTGGTTACAATGGGAAGGAAACTGGGTTGCAGGTGTAGGTGCCTGTGCATGTTTACTTTATGTACATTTTCGGGATCGGTTCAACTGTTGGACCCCTCTGACGACATAGACTTGGGAAAACGAATACGAATCGGACTTCCAAAAGTAGCGTAATGCTTACGCTGCAATCTCGAGAGTTCGGCCAAAGGGTGGCATCAAAGGCCATGATATTCTCGCTCACCTCAGATATCGCTGATGGCACCAATTGAGTCGCGATATTTGGGACAAATGTCGTAAACCAGGAGTAGGTTGCAACAGCGGGTCATTCATGTCGTTGCCATTGGCCCAGGAAATACCGTAAGTATATACAAGATCTATGTTATAGAAGATTGTCAAATTGGAAGGGAAGGCTATGACGAGCTTCCTGGCAGCAATGACAGCAGGTTGAGTCCTGAATTCTTAACATCGTCCGGGTAGACATACTAGGATTTTTAAGCACGAGCTCAGATAGGGAAGAGGCTAGTGACAGAAGACTTACGAATGCGAGAGCGATAATAGTGTACATACCCAATAGCATGGCACCCTCAAGGTAATTGGATTTTCCATCCTGGCCAGTCGTCAGCTTCCGTGGAACTAATTGCCCGAGAGAAGAGGGAAAACTCACAGCGATCACATAGCTTGTAATCAGCACACTTAGAAAGAATACCACAGTCTCGAAGGTCTCAAAGTGCAGTGTCATTGGCTTGTCCATAATCCACCCCAAAATAACCAGGAAAGGTGTCACAAGAAGCGCGATCTGCATACTACTTCCGATCGCAACTCCAATTGCCAGATCCATCTTGTCTTTCAGAGCCACCACAACTGCGGTTACGTGTTCAGCCGCATTGCCAACGATGGGAAGCAGCACAAGACCAATGAAGGTTTTGGAGATATGCGCCGTTTGGACAATGCTGTCGATACTGTCCACGAGATATTCTGCGCAGACGGCAACCAGGACAGTGATGAGCACGAGGGCGACGCCTGCAGCCGGAGGAGAAAGAACTCTGCCTTCTTCTGGCTCGCCGTCCTGTTCCGCCTCGCCTTCTGCGTCAAAAAGATCCGAATGAGTCCTCAGCTGGAAGAGCAGATACAGCACATATAGCAATAGAAGTATGACAGCGGTCCCATGAGAGAGGATCAAGATATTGTTGTCTTGATTTGCGTCTGTGCCTTTCATGACAGCGTATAGTGTTGCCGGGATTATCAGAGAAGCGGTCGAAACGACCATGAGGGAGGACATGGTCGAGGCTACTACGTCGTTGAATCTTTGCTGTGGATATTTGATGCCGCCGGCGAGGAAACAGCAGCCGAGGACGAGAAGGATGTTGGAAAGAATGGAGCCGAGCATAGAAGACTGGACTATGCGGATCTCGTTATTCTTGAGTGCAACGATGCTGACCTACAGATTCAATCAGCTTATGTGGCGCACTGAAAGGTAGCGCGCCCATACAATCAACTCGACAGCGTTCCCGAAAGTTGCATTGAGCAGACCTCCTAGTGTCTGGCCCAGCTTGGCTGATAACTCTTCCGTCGCGAAGCTTAGCAATGAGGCAAGCGGTATGATGGCGAGAAAATTCAGTATAAAGGTTGCGGCTGGACTCCATCCCACTGCTCCCGAGACGATGCCCAACGGCACGAAGACCAAAAACACATTAACATAATTGCTCGTCAAAGTCTGCTGCACCTTGAGCCCGAAATATGCTGGCCACTTAATGAAGGGTCTCGCATCGTCCTCCCATAGATAGACACCATTCGAAGTTTTAAAGTGCCTTGCAAGGAGTGGAGTCTGTTCGTCGGTGTGTTCGTTGGTGTGTTCGTTTATTGGACTGATGACACCACCTGTAGCACCTGAGGAATTGCCGTTTTCTCGAGATACGTTACGGCCGCTACGCATGCTATTGCTCCGGCTATTTGATGGCCTTCCATGATTTCGAAATTTGGACTTCATCCCGGTGGCAGCTGGATTGTCCATAGCGCTTGTCAGTCTTGTACGGTGGGTGGGAGAATGAGGGAGGGGGGCGGCTGTGGACAAAGGGACTGCGCCAATGTGCCAGTGTGGGTGAGAGATGCAAAGGACGAAAAAGCTCCCTTTATCGCATTGGAAGAGGGGTGGCAAGTAGTCGTTGTTTGAGGGCTTTACTTACACATATCCACGGTACTGGGCTCGTATTTGTATCTGACAGACTCTGGGCTCTCGAGGCCAATTGAACAATGCTGCTTCTGCTGCGCAAGGGAATTAATTGGCACTGTCGGGGCTTCAGGGAGCGAAGGAAGGTATGCGATTATTGCTGACGTCCTCGTGAAGATTGCTCAACGCAGTACCAGATGGTTGACGTGGATGGTGATGCGCTACCATGCAGCCCGCGAATCGAAATTGACGCCGGCTTGGCGGGATTGTGGCAGTGCTCTTGGCAGAGCAAGTAAAATTCGCCCAGGTACTTTTGAGGTAAAGTAAGGTAAGGTAACTCTGTAAGGTAAGGTACTAACTAAGGTAAGGTAGAGCCCAGTACGGGTACATCCGCCACTAGCACAGGCCCTGTTGAAGTTGAAGCCCCCACGGCCCCCCACCACACCCCCACCACCCCTATTGACGCGCCTTGAAGCTCGACGATTGACCATTGTCGCCTGGCTGGTGGCCTCTCTATCGTGACTTCTTCTGTAGGATCTTACCTTCCCTTCCCTTACTCCAAGGTATCCTCGGTACTCTACTACCTAGCGCAAATCTGCCTCCACACTTTCACAACGCTCTTGACGACGACGCAGGCGTTGAATTTTCCAATCGTCAAACACACTGCTACAATATTGCTAAATACCAATTACTTCCGTGTGCTGTAAAATGTCACTTTTCGCCTGGGTCAAGAAGGCGTCGTGAGATGGTATACGTTGGCAAGCAACCTATACAGCTCACGGCTGCTATTTTGTCGGATGATATGCCTGTAGGGCTTTTGAAAGCCTCCCACCGCCTCCGTGCATCCTAGGCCTCTCCATACTTAGCTAACCAATGAGCCCAAGTAAATGAAAACCAAGAATCTTTACGTAGACCGCCCCCTTCGAAGTAGCATCATGAAAAGTCCGATAAGCTGACCAAAAACAACAACAGTCGCGTACACGTCGATAATGTCCAGCCCAGAGAATGCCGTCGCAATGAGTATCAATGAACAAGACTCAATTCAAGCTACCGGCTAGCAACCCATTTCCAAAACACAAATGTCCAGAGTCTCTTCCTATACTAATACACCGGCTCGAGCACCGAACTCAAAAGGTGTCCACATCGCCCACGTACGACCAAGTGACACCATCTACCGGACGTTTCAAAGTCAGCGCTTCTCCACCAGAATGCAAATCAAGTCACAGGACGAGTCCTGAGAGCAGTGTCGAAGACGAAACACATGTGTAAGCCCAGGAACATGGCTTGAGACTCAGAAAGGGATAGACGTCAGGAGAAGAAAACCCCGAAATATGCCATACCTGGTGCAAGTTGATACTCCTTCACACTCCCATCCTGGAAAGCATAGATGTGCGACGCAGCGTTGGCAGCAATGGAGGAGTAGTTTTGGACCTGGGCCAAGACTCCAGAACTCGGTACTGAGGTCCAGTCGCCGTTCGTGAAATTGAAGTAATTGACAGTAACACCGCTTGGGCCTGTGCTCACAATGTCCAAATACTCAGCTCCGGATACATTCCAGGTAAAGCCGGCGAGGGGTGCCTGTGTAGATAGTTCGGAAATAGGGTTGCCTTCGTTGACAGTCCAGCCCTGGGATTTATTGAAGCTGGCTGAGCAGAGTGCTTGATTAGCGGTCTGATAAACCACAAACAAACCTCCCGTATCGTATGTTCCATGCACGAGGTTGAAAGCCAATCCTGTTCCTGGCATTGGATAGGCGTCTAATGTTATCCATTGAGGCCCCGCGTTAGCGGTCGAGTTGAATAATGCTAACTTATCGTCGCTATTTTGGCACACAAGCAGGAGATCGTTCGAGCAATCGTTACATTCATCGTGTCTAAACCAGAGTGTAGCTAAATTTGAACCATCGGCAGGGATCTCACTGAGGCTGCTCGGACTCCAGGACTGGTCCTTCTCCTCGAATTTCGTAAAGATTATACTACCATCCTCAGAAAGGTAGAATAGGCTAATTTCCTATGAGCCGCAAGGAACAGTGAATTAGCCCATATCACGGTCAGTGACTCAAATCACCTACGATCGGCCAATCCGGAGGACCCGTGTAGGAAGCTGCGATTGGCGAGCCACGTTTCGCCGGTCCATGCGATTGGCCGGATGTATACCACTGATTTCCCGTGTCATTCTTCCCAACCTCCCTAATCATGTTGTCTTCCGTCTGATACCACATTCGATATTCTGTCACGCCATTGATATTCCAAACTACAGAGGCAAGTTTTGTGGTGTTGAGTAGTGTAGTGTTAAGCTTTGCTGCTGGCGTGGGAAAGGAAGACGCGGTCGACATGGTCGGGATTGAGACACTAGAAATAATGGTTGACGACGACTTTGCCGATGAGCTCATTTTGGTCATTGTTGACGAAGGCGCTTGATCACTCAAAGAACCTGAGCTGACCGAGCGATGGCTTGTACGGGTACTTCCAATACCACCACCTATTGCAGCAGCGGCACTTATGATGACAATGCCCAGTGCTACGAGGATCCAGATAGCTCTTTTGCGTGGGCCACGACCTTCCCGGACGAGTGTGGTATGATTATCGCTCTCTATATTGCTTGGTGTATCGAGCGAGGCATCAGAGATCTCAGGTTGAGGTAACACGGTAGTCGATTGCTTGTATGTGTCGAATAGTGAGAAATCGGGCTGTCGGGACTCCAAAGTACTATAAATCTGGGGCGGATCAGGTTGATGCCCTACCTCCAAAGTACTGTGCACCTGTCCGACTTCTGGGGCCCTGTAGAAATCACGATCAGACATCTGCATCTCCAAGATAGTCCTTATAATTCCGAAAGAGCATGCGAGGTTCACCAACTTCCATTCTCAAAAGACCACAGGAAGAGAGCATGATGGAAGACAAGCTGGGGGCTATGCCAGTAACAGCCTTGCGGGCCATATTCTTGCATGAACCACTTGCCTCCCCTAGACCGATGAGACCTCTTTTTTGGGATTGGGGCGAAGAAACATCAATGTGGCCACAATAATAGCCTTCAGCCTCCGTCAGAAAGCTTTAATCTTGCACATTTTTTTTTAATTTATGTATGACGACGCCTGCTCCCAAGGCGTTACTCACAACTGCGCATAACTGCAAGGCGGTGCGATCCTTGGGCTTGTACAATTCGCAATACGTTTCAGCAGCCCTGTGCTGTGGAACTTGAGCGATCAGGTTAGGTTTTTGATGGAAAAGGGGATGTTGCGTTTCAAGATGGGGTTTTCACCAAAGGAACTTAAATAAAGCAGGTACTTATGCTCTATCAAGGGATACAAACGTGCTTCAAAGATTTGTAGGAGACAAATACAGTATGTCAGCCGCCGGGATGCCTCACCTCCCTCTCGTCATGATCGATCCGAATTGTTCCAGGTCTAATTGCACATGGCAGAAAAATGGTAGATTCTATCCCATCGTCTGGCGCCTGGGGGGTAAAATGTCTTGGCAGAACATCAAATATCTGTATGTTCATCACACAACGACTTTTGAACGACAAGAATCACAGACTTATTTTCTATTATAGAATCTTAGATCTGCTTATAAAGATTAATCGCGACACTAAGTATTTTGTTGTGAAAGCAGGCGTCATTGAATTACACTAACATGCTATGGGGGTGTTTTTTGATGTTCGGTCGGAACCCCTGAATTTTACCCCCTGCCAGACGATGGGATACTCATAGAGGTCATCCAAACTCTAGTACAGTCAAGTCTAGGTCCTTCCTCGCCGAATCATACTGGAATTAAGACAAGCCTCAGGGTATTCCTATATGTAATTGGCAACTTCGTGAAGTAGTCTGCGGACGGCGTAAGAAGGGCATGAGTAATGTGGTATTTCTAAGTTGCTTGGAGCCTTCCTTGGGCATCAGCGGCACCTTGAGTTTCTAGCGTCCCGGCGGAGCTAACTCTTTCTCCGGGCCTTTTGTTTGGCTCGTATATGCAGTATTAAGCACTTCCTGCCTCTCTGTCACTCCCATTGTCTTCTTTGCTGTACGAGTAAATTGTCTCCAGTATCAGTTGTTGATCGTAACTTTTCTGCCGCTCTCGCCCCTTCAGTAAATCACCGAGGGAATCACTCAGGCTGTGTCTCGCCGCAAGGAATCCCGTATTCAGTCCTTACTCACCTACGCTCCTTGGCCGTTTATCTCTCTTTGTTACATTGTGTTCATAATCAGACAGACAGAACCCGACCCTTGTTTCTCGGCGCCAGCATTTGCGGGCCCAATTTCAACAAGCTCCCATGGGTTGGACATCACTAAAATCCACGGTCCTGGAAAGGTTTGCAGCGATCCAAGTAGCAGAAAAAAATCCAGAATGGCATATCCAATGAATGTGGGTGGATTCTTGATGCTTGTTTATTGAGGTGCTAACTTCAGCAGCAAAAGTTCACAGCCTTCTCAAGCATCCTCGCCTTGGTCTTAATCTTCCTCTTTCAAGTCCCACATTCAAGTGGCCAATTCTCTTCGTCCATCATACCAGATTCTAATTTTACCACTCTGCATTCTCCAGTCAATGGCAACATCACCATACGCTTCAAATCGCCGCCCGCAGGTACATGTACAACAGCATTCCAAACTCAAAAGCAATACACCGGATATGTTTCTCTGCCGCCGTTCACACTCGCCCCCATACAGCAAAATTACTCAATTAATACTTTCTTTTGGTTCATTGAAGCTCGGACGGAGTCAAGCACAGCTCCTCTTACAATATACATAAACGGCGGACCGGGAAGCAGCAGCATGGTCGGGCTGTTTCAAGAGAATGGACCCTGCCAGGTGGTGGAGATAGCTCAGGATAAGCTTGGTACACAGCCCAATGACTGGGGATGGGATCGGAGCACCAACATTCTGTACGTGGACCAGCCAAATCAAGTGGGCTTCTCCTACGATACGCCAACCAATGGATCTATGAATCTGTTCACCTCCATCACGACTGAGCCGCCCTCGGACGTACCATCCGGCCAGCCAGACTATACCTACCTCAATGGTACTTTCAGCTCCAACAGCGGCAACTCGACGGCTAATACCACTGAAATTGCTGCACACGCAGTATGGCATATGTTGCAAGGCTTCCTTGGAGCATTTCCCCAATACAATCCGGGCAGGTACTCGAACAGTTCAAAACCAGGGGCTGTCGGTGTCAACCTCTTCGCGGAGAGCTATGGAGGGAAATATGGTCCCGCCTTTGCGACACTTTGGGAGCAACAAAATCTGCTGCGCAAGAATGGCTCCATACCAAGTAACAAAACTTTGGAGATACGTTTGTCCTCTCTAGGCATCATGCAGGGATGCGTCGATGATCTGGTTCAAGGGAGGTTCTACCCAATATTTGCCAACAACAATACCTACGGGATCCAGGCACTCTCGCTGACCGACCAGCAAGCCGCTGCTAGCAGCTTCTTAAGTGCCAACGGATGTCAGCAGCTTATCGAATCCTGTAGAAATGCGGTCACTGCTCAAGATCCTCAAAATGATGGGGACGTGGCCTCTGTGAATCAGATCTGCGCAAACGCCCAGAACACCTGCAACAACGAGGTTTTTGGGCCCTACTATTCGTCTGGTCGAGATGTATACGATATCACTCAGAACATGCCGGATCCGTTCCCTCCAAGCACATATTTGGAGTACCTTAACAATGCAGATGTCCAAGCTGCGATTGGTGTGGCTGTAAACTATACCCAGACGAACGCAGCAGTGGCAAACGCTTTCCTTCAGACAGGGGACTACGAACGTGGCGACTACATCGGCGAGATGGCTCATTTACTCTCACTAGGTGTCCGCATCGCTCTATTGTACGGAGATCGGGATTACATATGCAATTGGTTTGGTGGAGAGGCAGTCTCATTTTCTATCGCAGCGCAAGCGGCCGGGTACTCGCCATTCTATACAGCCGGCTATGCCGACATAGTGGTCAACACCACCTACATTGGTGGTGCAGTTCGTCAATACGGCAATCTGTCTTTCTCCCGAATTTACGATGCCGGCCATCTCATACCTGCATACCAGCCCGAAACTGCCTTTACCGTTTTCACAAGGATTATCATGGGCAATGACATCTCGCTTGGCGAAGCTGCTGATCTATCAACTTACACGAGCAACGGTACCGCAAATGCCACGGAGACCCGCAAGGCCCCTGAACAATTGGACCCAACTTGCTGGGTTAGAAATATCGAGAACACGTGTACGAATGACCAGAAGGTGATGTTACAGCAAGGCCAGGGCGTCATCGTCAACGGTGAACTTTACGACGAGGCTAGCGATTGGAAACCACCTCCGTCCTCGGTTTCCGTGATGGCAGGCTACCCTGGGACTTACCCGACTTCGACAACGACGACAGGGCCAGCGCCTACTGAGGAGGGCAGCTCTCCGAGTACGACCAGTGCAGTCCTGACTGGCGTCTTCACTGCAACGTCTACACCAAGTCCGACCCCCTCGAAGGGAGCTGCTTCCAGCGACAAAGCCGTTAATGCGGGGTGGGCTTTGCTGGGATGTATGCTGGCTATGGGGGGAGCCTGCGTGACGTAAGAGATGGAATGCATTATACGAACTGTCGCAATATTTTTTTTCTCGGAAAGTCCAATGAATCAGGATAATGGTTGGGCAAAAAGTTTCAGCATCGATACCCTTTTCGCTTTTCAGCATTGTAATTAGTTGCGATAATTCTCGCTGTGAATGGCTATGTTGAAGCCATGTACGAGTCAAGTCCATGAGTGAGGTGAAAGGCTCGCTCTAGTGTCGGAGGGCTTATCAGATACGGTATCTGCTAACGCACTGCCCGTTGATATTGGCTCTGACTGTCGTGCCTTGTAAGAATGCGACTTTAATTAGTGCTTTCTAGCTGGCGCAATTCAAGCTGAACGTGGTTGGTGAGGCTCACTATTCCAAGCGGTTCATGCTTGCTGCAAAGTCATATTGAGCCATGCTTACTTCGCCGAGTTCTCGTGCTTATTCAATTTGCTACCATTCTAAACATATCATTCCTGATTTCAAGAGCCGAAGAAAGTCCACTTCAAATGATTTTTTTTTGTAACCGACCATCAAGAATCACTACTACTACTCATACAATCCGAGTCCGCTATCTTTCTGTCTGCTTCTGTACCTCACTGACCCCAAACAACTTATCTTCCCCTCTGGTGGCTCTAGTAGGTAAATATGGCACTACTAGCGGCCGGAACCGCCAACTTCCTTTGTAAGGGCCAGAAACAGCATTCCGGTACACTAAAGACGAGGTGCGTCTTCGGTTCACGTGCTTTTGTACTTTCAAAGCATGGAGGTGGCATAGAGAGCAAGCTGACGTGTTTGCGTGAATTGATGAGCAGATCTCAACATGCATGAAGAAAATCGCGGCCAGTCCACAAGCTTGGGGTGTGGCGGCAGAGTATATTCGAAGTCCCGGTATCAAGGAAGCAACGGAAAAACTGATCAGTCAGATGCAAGTCTGGATTGGACATCTCAAGCGTTTGCCTAAACTAAAGATCAGTGCACAGAAATAGAAACGTTGTCTACAACTACCTAGATCAGCCCCTAGCGCTGCAGTATAAAGGAGAGCAATTGCCGGTGAACACTGCCTTCGACGTCTTAGGATGGATTTTGTCCGTCTGTGATTCAGGCCCTCCAGGTGCCACGGCGAAGAACTACTATCTGCCAATGCTGGCGCTGTATTCGAGATGGTGTTCAGTCCTGGGCGAAAGCAGATTCGAGGGCATGACCCACATTACTTGGTTCACCAACACCAAGTCAAAAGGCACGGACGTTCTTCTTGGCGCCACACTCGGCCAGCCAGAAACAAGAGACACTGTACGAAACAAGGACAAGGTGACAGGCCAGCCTGTTCCACAGGTCAAAGACCGAGGCCTAATCATGAAACGTGAGAGGATAGAGTATCTTGAGAGAGCGGGCTTCCGGGCTCCCGATATTTTCATTCCCCAGACAGAGGACGTATCAAGGCAGAAGAATCAAAAGGATGGCACGCAAGGTGATCCAGGCTTTGGCGGCTGCGCTGAAACTTTCTTCTTCATCGTTGCGATGAAGTAGGTAGAGACAGAGGCCCAATTCCGGTTTAGGTTTCTAACAGATTTCATGCAGGAACAAGATTGACAAAGCCAACGTCCATGGTTTCGCATTGAGGCCCACCGTCGACCTCATGAGACAGCTCAACAACTACTCGGAGGCGGCTATGGTGGCCCAATTACGACCTCCATGCGACTATTCATGCCAGAAGTTGTTGGATCAGATGTACCATACCAGAGATTGGCAATCGACGTTCGATTATCAAACCATAACCCTTCGCGAAAGTGGAGGAGCCGGAGCTGGCGGAGCTGCCGGTCCGAGTGGGAGTGGTGTTTCTGCGAAGTACTGGTCCGGGTACAAAAGTTGGAGCAGCATCCAGCAAGGCTGGCAAGAGTAGGTAGGACGGAAAATGGGTTTCAAGAAAGTATGTTCAAGGTTCTTTCTCTCGAATGAAGGATCAGATCGGCTAATTCGATGTGAGCAGAAATGGCAAGTGGACTTGGAGCTGCGTTCAGCCCCATAGCAACGGGGAACATCAAATGGTAGAATTCTTTTGACATCATGAACGCTGACCATGTGGTAACTTGTTGACTCGATTCAACAATCATTGTTCTAGAGGCATTTTTATCGTACAATATGCTTCGTGTTGTATGTGCAACGACCAATACCTTGCAATGTGAATGCACTATGCAGTATACCTGACGGCTCAGAAAAGTAGTCTCCCGTAGGGTTGACCGGATATATGCTACCTTATCCCCGGTTCCTTCCATCCCCACAGCCTCACTCGATATTTCCACTCCCATTACATCCAGCCAATTAATCCTTCATCAAGCCATGGCAGCATCACCTTCCCATCTCCGCTCTCTCTACCGCTCTCTCCTACGTGAACTACCTCATCGACCGCTTTCCACTCCTTCCCCAATCCAGCAACGCATCCGCAATTCCATTTCCTCCAATTCCGCCCCAATGCAAGTCGAAGAAGCCGAACAATATATCCAGTACGCGAAGGCACAGAGGATGTACGCTACGCTGTTGGAGAGGTATAATCCAGGAATGTCGATGGATGAGGAAGAGAAGGTTCGGCTGACGGCGAGGAGGGTGGGTATGGATTTGCCTGAGGAGTGGCGGGCTGGGAAGAAGAATTGATGGAGCGTCGTACATTGGACATGTCGTGATTGGGAGACGTGAGTGTGTGTATCACAGCGTCACGTATCAATCCAGTCGTCAATTGCTGATGTTGACAAAGCTCGACAGACGTTGGAAGTCCACCGGACAGAGAGCTGAGTTGACAAAATCTGGCAAGCTTCGCTTGACTGGAGGGCCAAAAGGAGAAAGACCCAGCCCTATTCGAGATACTTCTTGGGCTTCGGCATGCAAGAGAAGTTAAGGTCTGGGATGGGAAGTCGCCATGCCGCCGAGGACGCAGAATCGAAAAGAGTCAGACGACTAAAGGATTCCACCACATCATTTCGAACCTGGGGTTACAGAGGCCCGGCATCAAGTGCCGCAGCAGCAAATTGCTGCTTTTTCGATTGCGAAATAGATTGAGGACAGCGTTCGGTCACAGAGACATGGAAAAACCTGGGCCAACGTTTGGCAGAAAAGCTTTGGTAGAGGCATATCAACTTGGCGTACTTCTTGCTGCCGGTCCATGAGCTCGGATAGATACAGAGAGAGCGGCGACCATGATCCAGAAGGCTATGCGCCAGAGCAAAATTCTTGGTCGTTCAGGACCAAATACCTGGGTCTTGATTCCATGTCCCCAGAATCAAGTCCTGTAGACTTGACGCACTCTCGAGTGCGAAGGAGCCTTTACTGCTTAACGGCTATCCATCGATCTCCATCATTCGAGGCTTTCGAAATCAAGCATTGCATGCCTTCAAATACCTCACTGTGCCCTTGTCACTCTCAAACCTGCTCACTACCTGATCTCCCTAAATTCTCTCCCTCCTTCAAAATACTCAATACTCCATACTCGCTTCTTCATCTTTGCTCTGCTCCTGCCGCTTCTCCGTCTTTGCCTGCCCTTCCCTTTTTTTATTATACTCCCTTGCTTTCTCCGTCTGTGCCTGCCCTATTCTTCCGTCCTTGCACCCTTTTTTCTTCTTCTTTGTCCTTCCCTCCGCCTTCACACATACGCCTACACATACTTTCCTCCCGCATACGGCCACAAATTCCATTGTCTACATGTCTTACTATCTACAAACATATCTACCAATCATCCCGGGCTACTGTCCAAATGGCCCCTAATTTTACTATCTCTTTCTTTCACATACAACATGTTTCTCTACCATCTATACTTAGCCACCTTCTCAGCCATCGTCTTCAAATGTGCTGCTTATCTCTGCCATCTATTGCTCTCGTAGCTGTAGCACAAATGAGTCTCGTAGCACAGGTTGATTGACACCTTCTTCCTTTGCGGTCCTCCCTGTGTTTTCTTTCTTTCTTTTGTCAATGTGTGGGCCATGCTATGAGAAACTTCGTTGATACTGGGCGGCCCCATCATGGCGCTCGTTTTATACGAGACCATGGAGGGGCTACACATTTGGATCGGATTGTTACAGTTCATCCAATCAATGCTGGGCTTCGAAATTATCTCCACCTCCTGACTTCGTCCAAAAATCAAGCCTACGGCCTCCATCACTCCTTCTCCGCAAAAGCTCTGATTCCCTCATCCTCCATCAACCTCCTCATAACATCGCTCCTCAGATAAACGCTGAGATTCGCCCCCTTGGTCCACCATTCTTTCTTTGCGTCATGTCCTTCCTTTGCACCATCCCCTTCGACCCCACCCTCACCCACAATCACAACCCCATCACATGACGGAATCAGCGGTTCCGCCCACCTCACCTTCTTCTCCTCCTCAAAAACCACCTCCCCCACCCCAATACCCACCCAACTCGTAACGATAGTATGATAATCGCCCAAACAGCAGTTCCACCGCCTCTGCCCACTCAGCTCAAAACACATTTCATGCAACAGCGCTGCTACAGCTTCCCCGTCAAATTCGGCGATAGTGTTGCGAATGGCGGCTGCTTTGTCCGCTACGTCTTTCGCACTGCTCGCAGGAGAAGCGGTGGCTGCGGCTTTGGTGCGGACGCCAGCGTTGAGGATTGGTGAGCCGATGAATGAAGGCGGCAAGGGTTTCTGTAGGCGTCGCCGCCCGTCGATGCTGACGTCAAGGAAATGCTCGTCCCCTTCCTTCAGCCCGCGGGCGCGAATCAGGGCGGCCCATAGGTGGGCGAGCAGGGCATCTTGATGCGATATTCGTGTCTGAGTATGCGCAGCGGCGTGGAGATAGACTGCGTGCGTTTCGGCGGCCGAGAAGAAAAACGTCGTGTGCGAACAGGGGGCTGTGGCATCCCAGGTATGGTACGGTACGGGTTTGCCGAGCTTGATGTCTTGAGATTGAGATGCGAGCTCCGGTGGGATTTTAGTTAATGACAGCGCCCATTCCGGGGTTGAAGGACCGGCAGAGGCCCAGTAGTCGAAGCGGTGCACGGGTAACCTGGCGGCGACTTCGAGGATGTACGGGTCGGGTCTTTTGGCGTCGATGTTGCCGGCTGCAGCAGCGTCGATGAGGGAGGGGTCGAAGAGAGGTTGTAGCTTTGGGACGGATTTTGAGGACGAGAGGGCAAGGTTCGTAGCGGCCCAGTCTTTCATGAAGGTGAGTAGAGCGGCGGCGTCTGCGAGAGAGTGGACTATACCGACGGCGATGGCTATGCCGCCGTCTCTGAAGGTTGTGAACTGAACTTTCATGGATGGTAGACCTTGGCATTCTTTCGAATCGTGAAGAGCGTATTCGGTTTCCATGTCTAGAAACTCTTCGTAATTGACATGCGTAGGATCCCAGTGTTTCTCGGTCTTATCGGGAGGAACCATGGACGCCATAGGAGAGTCAGCTTCGGCGAGGATGCATTCGACGCCTGGATCAGAGTCTGATCCATGAGAAAGTTCCAAACGCCCTAAGCGATAGATGTGTCCAGCATCGGGCTCGTATTCAGCAAAGCGCAGCTGGCCCGCCCATTGAGGATAAGCATTGAGAGTCTTGCGTAGACTGGATATCAGTCGATCGGTGTCCGGTGATACATCGTAGAACCAAACGCAGGCGCTTTTCGCGAAATGCAATACAATTGCATCGATGATGGATAAGGATTCGACTTTGACCTGGGAAGAAGGGACATGAGAGTCTGGAAAGACACGCGAGCGAGACTGAACGGTAATTGCCATTGAAAATGATACTAACGAATTGTCCTCCTCGAGTAAAGTATTGACAATGAGTTGCGTCTATTGCTAGAATTGGTATTCCGCTCGAGGCGTTCTATCTGGTTGCAAATAATTGTCAAGCCAAGTTCTTATATGAGAAGCAGACCTTTGATCACTCTTTGCCTTTTGCTTACACATGGCCACGGCCAAGTATAAACACACAGCAAGATGAGTCAGACGGTTGACTGGTTCATGCAGGACCCCTCCAACACTAAACACTAAGGCAACGCCGGAGAAGGCTCCTGACTCGAACCCCATTAAGTCGCGAAGAGACTGAAGTGTTCAGGTGCAGCGGTTCGCGTGCTTCAAAGTCACTGATCTATCTCGCTCAATGACTATGCTTCTTATGCACGTCGATCACTTTTTGTACTTCGTCGTAGCTGCCCATGAAGATACCAGATCGATCATGGATATGCTCGGGAACAACAGTAAGCATACGTTCCATACGGCTGTTGACTGCTTGACCTCCAGCTGTTTTGATCGCGTCAGTACATGAGAAAATCATCAATAGGAATGGCGTTCAGGAAGTACCGTTCTCAAAGACCATAGCCATAGGTGCGCATTCATACAAAATCCTCAGCTTTCCCTTTGGGCTCTTCTTGTCCGCTGGATACGCGAATATTCCCCCGTACAATAACGTCCGGTAGGCGTCTGCCACCATACTGCCGATGTATCGAGCGCTGTATGGCTTTCCAGATTTTTCAATGGGGTACTTCAGGCTGTTGAAGTACTCTTTGACCTCTTCTTCCCAATATAGGCTGTTCCCCTCATTGACGCTGTATATCGCACGAGACTTGGGCATTTTCATGTCATGGTGGGTCAGGATGAATTCACCCAAAGCATTGTCCATGGTAAAGCCATTGACGCTGCCTCCCTTCATGGTAATGACCAGTTGAGCACTCGCACCATACATAGTGAATCCGCTGGCTACCAATTCCGATCCGGGAAGAAGAAGCTCTTCTTGTTTTCCTTGACTCCCTTCTGCCAGCCTGAATATTCCAAAGATCGTTCCCACGCTGACACCTGCATCCAAATTGCTTGAGCCGTCTATAGGATCGCAGACGACGGCGTACCGCGCCTTTGGGTTTTCATCGAAGACAAGACACCTCTCTTCCTCTTCGGAAACCAGGAGTCGACATTTGCCCGAGGTTCGCATGGCGGCCACAAAGATATCATTGCCAATAACATCGAGTTTCTTTTGATCGTCACCTGTGCTGTTGGATGAACCGGCAAGACCACTGAGGTTTATGAGACTGGCTCGACGGATATAGTAGGCAATGGATTTGAAGGAGAATTGTAGAGCATGGCATAGCAGGCTTGTAGACGGGTATTAGCATGGTAGGAGAGCGGATGCTGATGGAGAGGGGGTTGAAGACGTACGTGAAGTCCCCAGTGGCCTCCTTATGCTTCGATTGTTCTTCGGTCAGAAAGCGAGTAAGCGTGACAATATCAGTGTTGATCTTCTCTTGGGCTACAGGAGCCGCTTCGCTGTTTTTCAGAGACATGCCTGGAAGTTGGATATTGAGGATGATTTTCTGTACTTAGGGCAGATATGGCTGGGAGGGAGGTGAGATGGTGTTCACAACGTCAATTTCCAAGCAAAGCCGAATGCATTGATAGGATACAAGCGGTACATTTGGGCGGATATCATATTTTCCATATTTTCCATATTTTCGGATCAATTACAAGTCATGGCTTTCCTCTGCCCCACCACTGAGCCCCTCTCCCATCCATCTCAGCCATGTCTCCGCAAAGACCGCAAGTACCCGCTTCCATCCGATCATCTTCCAGTGGAGTATGTAGAGACAAGAGTGTGCTCGGTAGGAAAGTAGCGGGCTCGTCCGTAGGTGCAACAAATGGGAAGCCTGGATCTAATGAATCTATGTGGTTCCTGATAGTCTGAGAGTCTGACAACAACTACTCGTTTCAAGTTCAAATTCAAGATGAATCACGTGATAATTAGCTTCTTGGCAAGGCTGCAACTTAGTCGCACTCTCTTTTCTACAAGTCAAAGCCTCAAAATTTCAGCAACTTCATTGCCCGAGCTTCATTTGACGACATCACCAAGCCACCCCCGAGCATATGCTACTGAATAGATAATTCGATATGTCGTTGTCATTGTAAGTGTTCTGGTCCTATATCTTCCCTTCCGAAGCCCCTTCCTTACCTGATGATTTGTTCAAACCGCAAAACTAGAGTCTTTGACCCTTCCGGGGCATGAAACTTTTATTGCACACGTCAGTCTGATCCGTGTCATTGTCATTCGCTTCATATCATTGAAATCTTGACGCCAATCCTCAAATTGACAGCAATGCAGGTCACGGTCAAGTTTGGAAGCCTCATACGTACGGTACGCATCCTCAAATCTCGTCTCCCCCGCCTAGCACACCTGCCTACATTTCTACAACTGAGCGACGATGATCATTCGTACTATGTACGCTGGAAATTACCGACTGAGACCCTAGAGGTCTTTGACGACAATAAATGGCTTAGACTGAGCTCTTCTACAATCATAATTCATGCCATCTATAACATGGGCTAGGAACATTTGACTGACTGGACGAGTGTCACAGGCCAGGAGCTGAGTCGGTTGTCTCCTGGTGGTAGCACATCTATTGGCACCTCATTGAACATGGGAACCTGCCCTTGAAAACATAAAGACGTTTGGCAATCATGAAGAGGGAAATCAGCAGTAAGCGACCTTGGGCCAAATATCCACCCTCTTTTCCAGCACGGATCTTATGATGAATGGCACTGGGCTCCGATAAAAGCAATAAGAAGATATGCCTTTCTGTGGCAGGCCTAGAAAACCTCGCCCACTGAATACCACACACCTGTTCCCTGTTACTGTCTCGGAATTTTTTCAACGCAGCAGCTGATCCTAGATTACAGTCTTTTTTTAAATTTTTACGTCGAGGGACCCTCAACCCAAAGATCTCGTCTCTGCTTCCAGACCCCCTAGTATGTACATACAGAGACGGCAACTCACACCTCCGCTACACAAAATGGTGAGCGAATCAGTAACGACAGCCTCACCTTTGGGGAGACTGAGTAAGGTATGCCGCCCCTGTTCGAGTACCTGGATGCTTCTGTGATGATCACCTAGATGACGAGTCTGATTCGGGTTTCCGATGTAGACACACTTATTATATATACCATTCATGCATATCTGACGAAGCCATACTGTTCCTTCTTTTAGAGCTGTTCTTTTGTGCGTGTGCTAACAACACTCCAAGCTCACAGGTCACAAATTATTGTCGCATTGGTGCGGTCGAGGCCCGATCAAGCATCCCTACCCTTGAAAGCGGTACGTCCTCCATTCTCGATGCGTTCAACCTTCTTAAATGATGATTCCAAACAATCAAAAGACAAGCATATGTCCAAGTTAGCTTGACCGCTATCAAAGAAGAGACTGTTCGTACTGATCCGCTTCTCGCGATTTTAATCGGCTATAACACCACGAGCCAGTACAGGTACTGACATACTCGGTGAAGGTTTTGTTATCCACTTCTTTGGCCTGTCGAGCTGTGAACATCTCTAACGTCCGGTATGTTTCCCTACTTGCAATCCATAGCATCCTTCAAATGATGATCAAATTTTTACAATCTCACGACGGTCGGCATAGCTACACTCTAGCATTGATGAGATTGCCCATGACCGGGCATCAGATCTGACATAATTCCTGCAATGTCACTGTTGCGGACATTTCCGAAGCCTCTTTGCTGTGACGTCATACTTACTTTCATCTTCAAGCAGATGAGAAACGCCTGCCAGCGAGTGAAAGGAATGGGTTACTCGAGGCAGATTGACGAATTCGGCGACGCGGACCAGCGACAAGTGCTTGAACGGGTGGGCCAGATTTGCTACAAAACTACGCGAGTCTGCGGATGGATGGTACGGGCTTTAAGGGATTAAGATCAGCACAGCGGACTGAGAAAAGTAGCAACACATCAGCTTCCGGATAGGAAAGATCGAGGACATTCAATGAAATCTTCCACTTCTCTCAAACTATTCATCAATGATTTTATCTAGACATGATTCGGCGAATTTGCTCTTGGCTTGTCGACAAGGTCGATGCTACCAGTACATTCTCCGTAACAGACGCCGAAGCTTCTCTCTTCTCCGGAAGAAACCCATACAGGTGAAGGATGATGGCCTCGAGCCAAAAGAGGTCATCCCCTACGACTCAAGTCTAGACATCAACCTACGCTTCTGACAATATCACCTGCGCATGGGAGACGTCAAGGTGGGACAGTTGAATCATCACTGATTGAGCTAAGCATCTAGCTAGATCAATCACATGCCTCTTCCAGGCATTTCATCATTCGATCCAAAGCCACCGCCTGATGGTGTCATTCCAAACTTCCATTATCCATGCACGCACATAAGATGCTCAAAACAGATTCGTATAGATGGAACGCCGTCACAATGCCGCTTGCTAAAACGCTCGATTTAAGCAGTATAGATGAGGGTGAAGAGCTCATGATAGTAATGTAGATGTGTGACGAGGTTGGGACTATGCAACGGTCAAGACCGTGTTGCTTCTCACACCCGGACTCGGTATGGTTGGGTCGAGTTCAAGAAGCGTGAGATGATGCTTCCGCCCATCATCCCCGTTCGCATCTTCTTGGCAGGCTTCTCCTCTACGCCGTAGCTGCTCAGTTGATGATTCCCCAGCATTGGCCTGAGCTTGTACTCCCCACCATAGCCATCATCCTTGCCAATGATTGGCACGTAAGTGTCATCCACGTATGAAGATATGGTGGATGCAGGCGTTCCATGTGTTGTTGAAGGTGGAGAAGAAGAAGCAGAACGGGAGGAGACGCTGTGGTTATCCGTAGATGTGCCAGGACGACTAAGAGCTGGGACATTGTCCGCTGCAGGAGGAGAGATGGAGCGGGCTTGACGGATCGGGCGGCGCGGTGTGCGCGCTGGGAGATTAGACGATTGAGAGATGGAGGTAGTGGATGTTGAAGAGAAGCGCTCGAGGTCGGAAATGTAGGATGAGGAGCTGTAAGCGGTCGGCGAAGCATACACGCCCACTGACGGTGGAGGTGTAGGAAGAGCTGTTGTGGAAGCGTAGGGACGGCCTGACTGGGGTTTGCTGTAATATGCTCGTTGTTGCTGGAGCAGCTCGTGCTCGCGGGCATATTTTCTGCGCTTGAGCTCGGCTTGTTCCTGTTGAAGGCGGATGGGAGCGAGGAAGGGCTCAAAGTGGGTGAAGAGATCCTCATTTGTGATTCGCAAATCCCAGTCAAGGAGGAAGAGGAGCTGCTTCTCCATGAGGTTAACTTCTGTGATGGAGAAGCCGAAGCCCTCGAAGCCTTTCACCGACGAATACCGTGCCCAGTGTTTATTCTTGGGAGAGCTGTCATTCAAGTTCTTGGCCGCGAGGATGAGAGAGGCGAGGAAAATGCGGTGGACGGTGCAACGCATTCCTTTGGCGACTGGAGGTAACCGTTGTTGTAACCTTGAGAGGTAGACTAGGGAGCACATGAGGGTGGGGACCTGAACGCGGGATCTGTCCACCAGAGACTGAATGAATGCCTCCAAGGACGGAAGGGATGGTTGTAAGGGTGATAATGGCTCTGCATCGTGAGGCGGTGTTGCAGGTGGAGTAGGAGGAAGTGTCTTCTCTGTCTGAGCACGCCGATTCTCGCAACGGATGACAGAGGTCGCCTTCTGTGCCAGATACGAAACCATCTCAGATGTTACTGGCATCATAACAAAATGATCCAGGGCCATTCGGTTCTGCGAGGATGTGAAAGCCGCCATGGTGGTAATGATGAAGATCTAAAGCTTTGATTAAGAGAGCGGCAGCTGCAGATAAGTATGTCTTTAGGACAAATCCAATATAAGGTGTGACGTCGTAGGGGGATTGGTTGTGTTGGCGAGTATGCCAGAAGGACCCTTGACAGATATTGTGGATAGGCTGATCTGGAGTCGGCTGGATCCCAAGTTGGTTTAGGGCAGATTATCGAAGGTGGATGAAGGATTATGGTTTGTGGGGGGCACGGAAATGCCGAATGGGGCAATAAATATTTGGTCAGGTCGTGGTGAAGGTCGTGGATCGCTGGGGTTATGAGCCGAATGATCGAAGGAGAAGGTGGCTCTTCTCGAAGTAGCGGACTATCAGAGTGCTGAAGGAGCGGTGGAGGATTATGTCTATCGTTTCCCGGCCTGCGGAAAGACAGTCTCCTAAATTCGAGCTGGTCGTGTCGTGTGTGCTTAGAGCGTCGAGCTCGTAAAGCGTAAAAGATTGTTGTAGTTTGAATGCCCTTAAGCAAATTGGAGGAGTGAAGCGGTTGGAGGGGCTTCAGTGGGGGCTCTCCGCCTTGGAGACGGACAGTGTAAGAGAGTTGGGATTAGGTTGGTTTTGCCGTATTAGATCGGAGCCTCGGGCGGTGCCTGGTGATGTTCAGGGGCCAAAAGTCTTAGTGCGAGTTGGTAACGCAAACTGAGCAAATCTGGCAAACAAGACAGGCTGAATGCAGAAAGAGCTGGC